CCAGAGCCCCACCATCAGCTCTGTGTTGGCAGCGGGGGAGAGACTGGGGTTGCATTGCCTCAGGTCCCTTCTCCACCGCCTGCTCCAAGGCACACGTGTACATGCAGGTAAAGAGCTGATGCCGGAGCCCGGTGCAGCTGCTTGCAGTGCTGCCTGCAGCAGCCCAGAGCCCAGGCTGGCTACAAGCAGCTGCTGCGGGCTCCAGAGCCCAGTTGTCAGCTCTGTGCTGGCAGCAGGGGAGAGACAGGGGTTGTGCTGCCTCAGGCCCCCCCACCGTCTGCTCAGAGGAGCATGTGCCACTGTTTGCAGACTCCCGGCTGCAGCCAGCTCTGGGTAGCTGCCGCCAACTACGGAGCCTGGTCTGCTTACAGCATAACTTGCAGCTGAGCCCGCCTGACACCCACCCACTCCAAGCCCAGCACTGGCCCATCCCCACTGCTGGGATGAGGCTGGCGCTGCCCCTTGCCAGGAGTCCTGCACTTTTGTGGGCTTAGCTGCGTAGAATGGGTAGATGGTTGGGCTGATGGGTAGGTTCTGGGCCACGCTGCAGCCCAGGGGCTGGTTCCCCAGGGAAACACAGGGGCTCTGGCAGGCCCAGGGCATTGTTGGGTCGGACTTTGTCCGGTGGCCCAGCAGCCCGGCTCTGTGCACCCAAGCATCTGGTTCTGTATGTTTGTCTCTGGTTCTGTGTGTACACGCCTCTGGTTCTGGATGTGTGTGCGCATCTGTCTGCTCTGGTTTTCTGTGTTTGTGCACGTGTGGTTCTGTGTGCGTGTGTGTGCCTGGTTCTCTCTGCTCTCCTTTCTCTCTCTCTCCTCTTTCTCCTTCCTTCCCCCCCCTCCTCTTTCTCTTATTTATCTTTTTTTCCTCTCTCTCTCACTGTAACATGCTTAACAAAAAAGTACACAACAACAAAGGCAACATTTATGATTATTAAATATACTAATATGCAGTGTGTCCTGCCATGTACTGCCCCCCTCCCCCCTTGTTTTTCTGGCATGCCGTTTTGATGAAACGGAACAGAACAGTGTTTTTAAAATGAAACAGAACTCAAAACGAAACACTGTTCCATCGAAACAGATGTTGAAGCAGAACGTTGCTGTTTTGCACAGTCCTAGTTAGCAACAGATTGACCTATTGTAGCCAGTTGCTGATTATGAACAAGAACTTTCAGCCTTCAAGAAACTTGAAGTGGATTTATATAGAGAGAGAGATGCTTAATGATCACTTTCCTCCCTTAATGTTAGAAACTCTTCATGTGTTTTATCTCCCTTATCACTAATTCAGGGTCAAAAGAGACAGATTTTATAGTTGGACTTTCAGGTCCTTCCTAGTTGCCATGGTGATGGACTTGAATAATGAAACTTGCCAAATAATACCAGTTGAGTTAGTTTATGTACCTGGCCAGCAGAACTCTGTTCAGCGTATATGTGAGACACCTAGTTATTTTATTCTTGCAACCAGTTTTTTTTTCCTGTTTGAGCCTTCTAAGAGTTAATATTGTGGATACAGATTATCCTTCAAAAGTATAGGGAGAGAAAGCTAAGGTTGACCAAGCGGGGAAAGGTGGAGAATTCCTTCTTTTCTGTTTATTTGGATAATAATCTGAATTGGATGTTAACAAGGTACAGTGGATGCTAATCTTAAAATATCTGAGTGAAGTAGGTAGTATGAAGAGATTCAGAAATCCCAAATTAACATTGTAACTATAGTTACACTTGAGTACATGTAGTATTCATGTTCTAACAATGTTTTCTAATCATGCCCTGTGTAGGGCTATGTGACCTAATCAAAACACTAGCAGGTACTGGTCCCTTATCTGCACTTTAGCTACTTCTCCTTGCAGTAGTAGAAATGAACTAACAGCAATAACTATAGGAAACTTAACCATTGTGTGGTGTTATCAAATTGATGAGAAATTTATTGTTAGAGATTGAAACAATGTTGTGCATCTAAATGTTAATGGTACCAGTACTGGTGCTGACCTACTCAGTGGAATAGACCAATCTCAATTTAAAAATTTTAAGATGTCACTTTTTCTAAAATTAGTTTGGGTTCTGGAAGGATTTTAAAAGAGGTTGCACTTTAAAAAGTGGACCCACTTCCCTGTGTACCCAAATGCTGATACCAAGGCTGGGGAGAGAACTCCAGAACTAAGTTTAAGGATCAGGTAAAAAGGAGGACAGGCCCCTTTTTATGTCCAAGGGATTCTGTTAACCTTTATTATTCATGCTATGTGGACATGTATGCACATATACTGAGCTGTGCACTAGCTGAGCAATTATGTAGCTATATATGGGCACTTTGTGTATGTGTGTATGCCACAAAATTGTAGCTGGAGAAAAATCCATGACAAGTAGATGTTAAAACACAAAAACAATAATAGCTGAGTAGTTAGAGCACTTAGGAAGCTAGAGACCTTTGTTGTAGGCCCCCTTCACCCAGAGCAGGTTTGAACCTGTCTTTCTGATGTTCTAGTACAGGGTTTTTCAACCTTTTTAGATCAGTGTACCCTCGGCGTCCAGACGCAGAGTAGCGTACCCCCAGCGGAGCCTGGGGGAGGTGGGGGCAGGGAGTGTGGCTCATGGCCAAATGTGGAGTGGCAGCAGCCGCCATGTGTGAGCTTCCCCCACATCCGGCAAGGCAGGCAGCAGCCATGCAGAATGGTGCGTGGCAGCGCTCCATCCCCGCCCACGTGTACCCACTAGGACCTTCTCAAGTACTCCTGGGGTTACGCATACCCCCTGTTGACAACCTCTGTTCTAGTACAATGTTGTAACTTCCGTGCTATAGGTTAGGTACTTTTCAGTCCTTTCTCCAACACATTTTTGAAGCTGAGCCACTGCACCTTGTTTTTAATAGGCATTAGATAAAATAAATGGATGCCATGGGGAAATTTCTCTCATATTTGGGAGCAGAATCTAGGGTTTGGCCTCTTCTAGAGCAGCATGCATCTCCCTTAGCCACACCCTCTAGCTTCTTCTAATCCTCCTGCCTTCCTATATCTCTTTCTCTCTCTTAGCTGCCCCAGGACCAGCTTCAAAAGGTATTCTGGAAAAGCAATTGGATAATGTCTAACTTGTGGTGTGGTGGCTAGACCATTGTGCTGGTATACTAGAGAGATGTAGGTTCAAATCCTGTCCTGGTGATTGAGACCTGGAACCTGGTTCTCTTGCTCTCTGGGCAAGTGCTCTAACTACTCAGCTAGTGGGTTAAAACATAGGAGACCTTCACTCATTTTCTATTTTCTAAAACATGTCGCTGTACACATGTACATAGCTGGGTACCTGCCTAGCCAATGCATAACCTTCTGAGCATGTGCAGCATACATGCATATACATGTATGCACAGAAACGGTAATAGAAGTGCAAGTTGTGTGTACGTGCCAAAAAAAACACTTGCATGACTAGGTAAATGCCATTTAGGCACACAGAAGGTAACTGAATTCCACCCTAGACCTTCTGATTTGGACTCCATGTTTTAGATGTCACTGGAAATAAGATTAGTGCTGTATATGCCCTGGCCTATGAGGGTCCATTATAACTTTTCTGAGTCTAGCACGCTTCAGAATTTTTTTAAACTTTTACATTTTTAATCTGTTAAACACAACTTAACTGTATGAGCATGGTAAAAAATAGTTTGTCAAACATTTATCTAATTATTTTGTTTTATTCCAAAACTACATTATAATCAGTCTGAAAGCTCATTAGAAAAAAGGATTAGTTAGGAAAAAAAAAAAGGTGGGGGGGAGGCTTTTGTCAAACGTTGTACTACAGGGCAAAACTAGAAAACTGTTATTTTTATGAATGTTAGTATGTCTTTAGAGGCAAAAAACCCTTAGTTCATGATACTTTCTTGCCTAATTCTCACTCGAATAATTGTTAGTAGATTATTTGGTGATTGTCTGTTAAAATAACCAAAATTGCTTTCTCTGTACAGTATGCAACTTTCCATCAACTTCCAAATAAAAACCCCTTGAGAACTGAGGAGAATACAGTCTGCTTATCCAATAGTTGCTATTCTTCTCCAGCCAAGACATTTCTGGGTACATATTTGCTTGACTTAGTCCAGATAAGCATGGGGTGGGCAGTTATTTCGGCTAGAGGGCCACTTAAGAAATTTTGGTGAGCTGTTGTGGACCAGATCAGCTCCCACCCTTTCCCTTCACCCTCATAACAATTCACCAAAACTCTCTAAGTAGCTCCTGTGGGCAGGGTACATTTGGCTAGGCAGGTGGGATGACGCTGTGGGTGGGTGGAGGCCAGCTTTGGGGGGAGAGGGACGGGCAGCCGGGACTGGGATCTCAGGGTGGTGACAGTGCAGGGCTGGGGGCCGGGGCCTGGGGCAAAGCTGTAATCTGCTCCCTGTGTGATAGATCATGACTGGCCCGAACCAGGAGGGGGGCAGAGTATGTGCCCATGACCCAGCTTCCACTGCCCCTGCCCCAGGACAGGCATGCACAGGCAGCCTCAGTACAGCACAGCTGCGGAGTAGTGCATCCCAGCAGCACAGAGCAGCCTAATCTGGTCATGATCCATCAGGGATAGCTCGTGTGTTTGGGCTGTGCTACTCTGAGCTGTTACTACCTCATGATCTCAGCCCCGCCTGCCTGTTGCTCCCAGATGCTGCTCCCCCACCTGCCCCTGTTCCCATCCTATCCTCCCAGCTGAGTGCACCCTTCCTGTGGGGGTCCCAGGTCAGACTCCATAGAGATGCTATCTGGCACCCCTAGCAGTGGGTGTGGGGCTGATAGGCTGGGGCGCCTGGGCAGTGGGGCTGGATCTGGAAGCAGCAGTGACACTGGCAGCTGGTTAGAAGGAGCCGCTGCTGCCAGGAAGCAGAGTCCGGTTGCTGCTCCACCCTCACCCCACTGTGTGCCGAGAGCAGCCTCATGGGCTATGGCTCAGGCTGCTCCCAAAGCCTGGGCCAGATGGGGCTGAGGGACCCACCACAGGCCAGATGAAATCCTTGGCGGGCTGAATCCAACCCATGGGCCATATCCTGCCCGCTCCTGAGCTAAGCATTCCGTAGCGCCACTGTCCCAAAACACCTTTTCATTTGGTCTCTCCGCTTTTGTAGACAGAAGAGAACACACATTTGTCCAGGTCACCAGACTTTCATCACTGCTTCTATACTTGTTTTATTCTAGGGAAATCCATATATATTTTTCTCCACAGACATGTTTTTTCTTCTTATTTAAATTAATTACTTAAATCAGGCAGTTTTATAGAAAGCTGTCCAAGTTTTCCTTTTTTCAATATTCTTTTGCAGCCTAGTAACATAATATTATGGTATACCAACTTGATTTTACAAATATCTCAATTTTTACATTTTTATCTTGCTAGATTGGTTAATTAAACACATGCTCAAACTGTTTTGACTCTCAGTTATTTTAAAAATTGTTATGCATTATTCTATCCTTGCAGTTTTACTTACCAGACTATTTAAAGGAGTGACTCTTCCATGTAGCGCTCATCATTTAATTTGATTTCTGATTTAATTGTTTTACGTAAGTCTACAACTGCTCTTCTGTCATAGCAGATACAAGTAATTACTGGATTCCAGGAATTCCTTCCCTTAAATGAGGGGAAGGGCCAGCCATTTTAGAGGAAAGGAGAGTTCTGTGTAGAGTTGCTATTTTTGTCATCTTCTCAGAGTCCTTGTAAATATTCAAAAAAAACCCAAAAGTCTTTATAGTGGGTTTTACCTTTGAAACATACCGCTTCTATTCCATGTGAGAAGATTTCTTTCTAAAAGTCCTTCAGTTTTGTAGAATATAGTGTGTTGGATGTCTTTGTTGTTATGATGTAATTTATGACTAATTTTCTTTAGGTTTGTATGTGCTGTTAAAGTGTTCTTTGGGGACTTTTTATTGTCCATCAGTGTGCCTTGATTATTATGTATGGGACAGAAGAAAATTATTATAGAGCCTTGCTAGAACATTGCTATGTATAATGTAATAAAGCACAGCCTTACTTGAAATACCAGTGAAAATATTACTAGAATGGGAATGATTTGACTTGATTAAGAAGACTGTAATGATCAAAGACATTAGATTTTGTTGCATGTCTTTAGGCAAGTATTATTGCAGGTAAGTTAACTAAAATGATGCATCCTAAAGCTATACTTTGGTTTCTTGTCACTTTCATCCAGTACCTAAGTTGTCTTCTCCAGCAATGTAAAAAGCATATAGGAGAATATATAAGGAAGACAGAAGAAAGTATTAGTTCAAATGATTACTTTCATCTGACCATAGTGATATTAATTAAGTTTTGCAGTCTTCCTAGTCGTGCTCAGATGTATTGTAAAACATTTCATTGCAGAAGGATTGTACCTACAGAGATAAAAATCTTAATTATTCACTATATGCATCTTACTAAAGGATTTTACTTTGTGTGTTCTTTTTTTTAATCTTTAAATAGGCTAATCGACCTCCTGCAAAGCTCAATCTGTTAACTTGCCAAGTGAAAACAAACCCAGAGGAGAAAAAATGTTTTGACCTCATATCACGTAGGTTTGTTCAGGTCTTTGCTTCTAGGTAACTTCAAAGTTATCTCATTGTTTCAGTAAATGTATTAATAATCAGATTTAGCATGATAGTATTCATGAAATATTTTAAGATTATGACATTCTATCCTTGAAAGTTTTTTTGGTTGTTTTTTTTACCTTTCATCCTTTTGTCACAATATTATTTGTTCATTTAGCTAAACTATTAATGTATAAAGACTGGGCATGTTCTTTCATTTCATGTTATTTTACATGATTCTACAGTAGGGTAACAGTATTTCCAGGATGGTCAGTTATGATGTCAGAAGTATAAAGTTATGACTTCACTACAAAATCAAAAAGAAGAATTAATGTTCTTATGTATATTCTTCCATGCCACATGCTCTCAAATAAGATGCATACCTTGCTTTTGGAAGGCAGAATGTAGAAATAATAATTTTCCAGTCATGGCTACCTGTGTGACAAAGTAAGTCCTCCTGGAAACACAGTGTTCAGGAAGTGTGGCATCTGAGGAGACAATCTGGATGAGACATCAGGAACTTCCTGGTGTGGCAACACATTAACAAGGCTAGGCCCCAGACCTTTGCAAAGGTAGTAGTAAGACTTACTTTTTTACTGTAGTTAGTCTTTATGTAAGATCTTGTAGATGATGAAAGGGTTGTTTCAACACCACAAGCCTCATTAAGATATTACAGACTGCATTTAGCATTTCACTTGCCCTCAGCCAGCTCAGTGGGTCTTGAGCCAAAAGTTACTGCCTCACCAGCACAGTGAGAGGATTAACACTAAATACTGCCCCTGCTACTTGCTGACCATTTTGGTATCCATTTTAGTTTAGTGCCTACTTGTTTCTTTTCTTCCCCACTTCTATTTCAGCAAAGAAAAATAAATTAGCTTTTCCTAATTAAGGCGTGCACCTCAATTGGGGGGGAATATGGTAACTCTTTTTTCTTTAAATTAAATTGTGTGTTTAATTTTTGTTAAATAGACTTTTTAAATCGGTCGGGCTAGAAGATCTATTAGGTCCCTTCCGACCCTGAAACTATGAAACTATGAAACTATGAAATCAGTTATTAAAAATAAATTATAACCCCCAGGCTGCCTCTAGATGGTTTTGTTATGCTACAATGTTTGTAGCATGACAAAAAATGAAGTGCGGTGGGCAGCCACATGTTCAAAGCCCCCTGGCTAGAATGCAATGAAGGCATGCTTTTTGGCCAGGGGGTGATAGATCCCTGTGCCCCTGGGGAAGCCTGTCAGCAAGCCTTTTAGCTTGGCTGCAACAATTTTAACTGGCTGTTGGTGTTCAAGCAGCAGCAAGCCTTCAGATTTCCTGGATTTCAGGCAGCCTCCTCACCCTTGCTGTCAGACAGGTGACGGAGCTGCCTGGGAGTCCCCCACAGTGAAAGGAGTTGATTGGGGTCTGCACCCTGAAGAGTCCCCACCAGCTGCTTGCATAGATGCAGAGGCAAGGGAGGTCCCTGCAAGCAGCAATAGGAGCTGACAAAGGACAAATCAGCCCATGCCTCATTTACAGGGAGCTCCTTCACCCTTCCTGCCCAATTGGAAGCTTTCCAGAGGTTCCTGTAGGGTGCAATGGGGCAGCTGGTCCTACCTTGCAGGGACCAGGGCTGTCCTAGGTGCCTGCCCACATACAGTGAACTTTAAAGGGCAGGTGTGCAGCCTGGCACCAGTGTGTGTGGCTTGCAGCTTGCTTGTGCTGGCCTACTTGTGCACTTGGAACTTTAAATGTAATGTGTCCCAGAGACCTAAAGGAAACAGTGAAAAACTTTTTTTTTTAATTTGATTTTCTTGTAAATGAATTTGTTTCAGTCTAACAGCCCAAAGTAGAGCTAGAATGTGAACATTTAGGATTTAGTTTTTAAACACACCAGGGGGTGAGACACAGGGTGAGGGTGAGCCTGGGGCATATGGTGCAAATGGGGTAGTTCTTCTCTTGTATACTTCATTTTCCCCTCATCATTAATTGTATACATTTTCCCCTCATCATTAATGCGGCAGAGCCACACAACTGCTTTATTGTTGATGCTTGCCAGGTCCTCATCCTGGGTGCACGGGTATGATGCACATGTGAGGAGGTGGTCAGCAATCCGTAATGTATCACCACACTCGCATATTGGACTGCCCTTTAAGCCAGTCTTATAGAGTGTGACATTGAAGCATCCAGCTCCAGAGGGAATCCTCTTTAGTTTCATCCATAAGTTGTGAGGGAGCTCATACCCAAGTGGATAGGGTGTTGGGTTGCTTATGGGGGTTGTGGATGCACAATGTAATGGTGGGGGGAGAGTTGCAGGTACACAGTGCAGCAGCAGAATACCCATGCAGATGTGCAGTGTAGTGATGGGAGGAAAGGGTCCAAGGCCCATGGTGTAGAGCAGAGGCGGGCAATTATTTTGGGCAGAGGGCCGCTTACTGAGTTTTGGCAAGCCATTGAGGGCAGCATGGCAGACAGCCAGGAGCAGATGCATATTAATTTTCTAAATTTTTTAGGGGCCCCAAGGGCCGGATAGAATGGTCTGGCGGGCCACATCCAGCCCGTGGGCTGCATTTTGCTCACCCCTGGTGTAGAGGGTTGCCAGGTACATGTTAAGTGGTGGGTGGGGCATCCATAGAGTGTGTGGCCCCAGGGTTCATAGCTTACCCTAGTGTGGTCTGCAGGGTATGAGGCCTGCAGGGTATGCAGCCTCTGGAAGTTGGACAGCCCTGTGTAAGGACATGAAGGTGATATAGGTTACACCCTGATTCCACCCACCTGTAGTTAGGCTTTGAATTCTTGCTAGAATTCCATTGATTTCAAATCAGTGGGACTTAGCAAAGACCTTGAGATTTGTCCTCCCATTGACTTCCAAGTCAAGTCAAATCAATGGGTCTTGCCAGTCACATAAGCACTTAGGAAAATTTTAACCCACACCTTCATTGCATTTGTGTACAGTTATGAATTAAAATGATAATTTGCTTTACCATTAATGAATGCCATACTCTCCTATATCTTAGTTCCTGTTATTCTGCCCTTGTTCATTATTTTCTGCTGCTGTTCTTAAATAACCTCTTTATCTTATACTCTTTGATTTTACTGGTTTGCAGTGCATTTCAACAGCACTTGCTGTTGCTAACGCTGACTTTTTCATACCTCTTAGTTTTAAAAAAATCCTTCTTTTGTCTTTTTATTGTTTTTAAAATTTTATTTAAAAAAAACCCTTCAGTTAAGCATGCTGAAGTGTGTATTTTGGGAAAAGAGATCCAGTCTTAAATACAATTCCATCTCCTCCATGCCTCAGATCTTCCCTTACTATGATCCTGGCAATGTCACTGACCCTTAACTTCTTTTCATTTTATTTGTTTGGAGAACTGTTGCCCCTTCAGTATTTCCAAGGCATGCCAATGCCGTGATTTAACTACTGTGCTTCTCATCTACATCTACATCTCACTTCTTCGTGACTTTTGCACTTCT